GACCACTTCACTTCTCTCCGACAGGCCGCCCCGGCTCGACTAGCATCCCACTTCATTTCAATCGGCTTCCTCGAACCGGTTGGTATGACACTTTGACTCTACCGGATTTCTCGACCCAGTCGACCAACTACTTGCACCACCATATTTTCTTGCATGTGTGTTTGCATATTTGCATGTTGTAGCGCATATGTATGAATACATTATTGCATCACGTCTTGCATCTGTATGTCTGCATGATTATGATCACATGCCTGAGTTGCACATTCTCTAGGGCCACTGCCACCACGGCATGCCCATCTTCCTGGGGCCGATGCCATCACGACATGTCCATATTTTTCGGGTCCCTGCCGCCATGACATGCCCATTCTGTCAGGTCACTTCCCTATCGACATACATCATGGGGCACTGCCACTATACCATGACCATCTTATTCGGGCCGATGCCACTACGGTTTGTTCATCTTCATTTGAGTCTCTGCCCCATGACACACTCATCACTTGTGTGTTTTGATTAATCATCTGCATTTGCATGTTCACATGGATAACGAGCCAGACCCGTTAGGAGAGTCACTCCCGTGTTGGTCGCGATGCCTTAACGAGCATTGCTTGTCGGGTCAATCTCGATGAGCAATGCGAGTTAAGTCATCGGGACTGACTCGAGTATGATTGTGCTAAAAATCTAATTGATGTAATTGGTGTCATCCGCTTTCGTGACACCGTTTAGATTCTTTGGATCATTAGGATGGGACAAGTAAAGCGACCCCGTCAAAGTCATACTATAACTAGACTTACCCCACACTAAGATACTAGGTTGATGCACTTGCCGTTAGATGGTGTGCTAGACTAGGGTTTAGGATGCTAGGTAGTTTTTATTTTTGACACCTTTGGCTATTGTTGTGTGCTGTGTTGTCTTGCGCTAGCCATGTGTCACATTCTCGCCTTTTTTTCGGTGTGCTTGCATGCTTCTGGTGTGTGATAGTATATTAGGACGATCTTCTGTAGCTGCCGTGCCTATTTATACACTCACACAAGTGTTATTAGGGGGGAGCACGTAATGATTTCTAATCCTTTGCTTGCAGGTACTCTTTAGCTCCCCCACTTATAAGGCACGGCTTGTTATTTTTGCGATGTATGGCGTGCCCACTAACACTTGTTTTATGCAGGTCGAGTTTTTATTTTCTATTTCAAATATATTTGATAGATTCCTAAAAGACTCTGTATCAGAAATAAGGTTTAGAGGTACGGACGCAGGTTTTGAGGCGGATGACACATCGAACCATGTGGGTCGAGTTTTTATTTTCTATTTCAAATGTATTTGATAGAGTACTATGAGAGTATCAGAAATAAGGTACGGACGCAGGTTTTGAGGCGGATGACACATCGAACCATGTGACGAGGACCAGGAGCGGCAGCTCATGTCCCGTACCTTAAGTCCGAATTTTATATTTTTGTATAGACTTAAAACCGGACATGCATATGCGGAGTCTGATCGCTTTTCTTGTTTAACTAATTTTTGTTTTTGCCGGTCCAGAGACATTTTGCCTGTTTATTTATTCTTTTGGGAGCTGTCTTTCTCTCTTTCTTCTCTTGTGCCTTTGCATGTTGGAGCGTTTTTTATTGTTTCTTTTTGGGTATCTGGACCTCACGAAAATGCAACGTAGGCTCACTAAAGACCTTAAATTTTTTATTCTTTTTATCTAAAAAAAATCATAATAATAAATGTTTGAGATAATCAAAATTTTAGGATTAAAAGATTCAAGATTTTTCAAAATCAGTTTTTATTTTTTCTACATGGTCTTCGGGCCGGTTTTAAAATGGTTCGTATGCATGACCATAACTCAGTCATATTTCACGGGGTCTTCACGCTTAAGAATGTGATAGATAACTGCATCTTACATGCATTTCCTGAGGAATAGCCCCCGTGTTTCTCCAATCCGACTGACTCAACATAAATTCGCCTAGGTAATCTGACTGACTCAGCATAAATTCGCCTAGGTAATCCGACTGACACGCGTAGGGTGTTAGGAGGCTTCCCGATCCAGACAGGATATAAATCCTCTTGTTGGAGCGTTTACAGTTTTATAGCTGAAATTCCGCTTTCTCTTCCTTCTTGAGGCATCCCTGCCACTTCGACAAGTATAAGTCCCACCTCTTGGAGCTCCAATTTTTAGTTGTAGGATAGAGTTTTATTCCTTTGACCTTAGGGCTACCGAGATTTCTATGGACGACGCAATTCACGGATTGCTGACCAGAGATTTTAGGTTGTGTTGGGTCTCCTACCTTTACGACCAGGTAGACTTAGGGTCCTAATGGTTTAGGATGATGGGTTCGTGGTACCCCGACCTGACTACCTCTACCTCTTAGGACTATTCTTCCCTACCTTTTGACTACCTTTGTTGAGCAAATTCTGCTCTTTTGACCTCGTTTATGTCACTTTGACGACCCAATGCTGATAAACTGCCGTCCGTTTCGGATACGCCGATTTGTCCTTTGCCCTTACGGTCTAGACGTGATATGACATGGTGAGATTCTCTCGTTGAAGTGATATATGGTTATTTCGTAGGTTTCGTGAGTCGAGAAGCCGCTACCCATTTGGACGTGGGAGATTCTCTCCGCCTGATAGCACAACATGAGCTTTAAAGCTTCGAGACCGTTCCATACAAAATAATCATCTTTTGATAACTTATACCCCAATTTTTTGATGATAAAACGAAACTCCTTCCATCGAGAGTCTTCTTGGGTATCCTCCAAGATTTTATTAACCAGTAGGAATACGTTCTTTTGAGAGACTTTTGACCCTAGAACAAAAATAAAATATTTTCTTTGGTTCCCTGGTTACGGGTGGCTTATATAGGATTCTGCTCGTGGATGTTGTTTTTCCGAGGTACTTCGATCTGATTCTATTTGGACGTATACTCTTGATCCATCACACGAGGATTACCCCTATATAAGTCTTCCGTCTCTTTTTTTTTTGATTTGTTTGCCTGTTTGTTGTTGTACGTCAGTTCGCTATTCAATTCCTCTCCTCTTCGAGTCATTCATTTGGTTCGAGAGGGAGATTTACTTGAATAGGGAAATCATACGATGACATACAAAAAGACAAACTGACGACTCCTTTTAAAATAAAAGAGAGAAAAACGAACGAAAATACTATGGCGACTCCGCTTGCTATGGCGACTCCGCTTGGGAG